CAAATAAGGAAGACAGAAACCCCTTCCATAGCTACTTCTCTTTAATAACATGATTTTGGTGCTCTGAACCCTCAGCAAGCATTGGTGCTGTGGTGTAGGCTAGCTTGGTACTTGACCATGTCCTGCAGTGTGAACCTGTCCTTAGCAACGTTTGTGTAGTGTCTGAGGTTTTTGGCTTCCCCTTAGTTCTCTTGCCATTGATTGTTTTGATGTGGGCAGATACACCTCTTTGCAGCTGCATGGCTGTAGCTCATTCCTTAGACTCTGGGAAAATGGCAGCCCCATTTCTATTTCCTTGAATTGGACTCATCCCTGCTCTGAATCAGGATGCTAGGTAACCTCCCCTGACTTACTCTAGCATGTGGCCCTTCTCTAATCCATGGGAAGGAGGAGGATGTACATTCCTTTCACCCATGCCTTAGGCAGTCATTTCCCTGCTCTTCTGCTGGGTTTCAGCCTGCCTCTTTTAACTCCTCTCTTTAGCATTCTTTTTTTAGAATTCTCTGGCATGAGTTAGGCAGCACTCTACCATGTTTCCCTAAGCTGTAGGGCACATTTAGCGTGCTGTTTGAGTGTTCTTGTCAAAGCTGGAGGTGGAGGAGTTCTATCCCCTTTTCACCCCCTGAGGAGTTTAGCGAGTGGGTTGGATGGCTCTGCACTGTCAGCTTCCACTCAAATCCAACTCCTAGTCTTAAAGACATTTTATGCTATGATGTGGGTGAGAGGTTAAAAATCCTTCTAAGTATACTTTGGCTGCCTTTTTGGTATGTATGATATGGTGGTCACAGACCTCTATTCAGAATGTGGGGAGTATATCAATGGTTGTATCATTCAGCTGAAACCAAAGCTAAAATAGCCTCATTTAAAACATCCCATTCAATCCCTATCTGTACTCTAAAAGTTTCAGTAAACCCAAGACTCAGGGGAGTTAATTAACACAGCCAAGCACTTTCAGCTTTGCAGCTCTTCTTATCAGTGAGACATTTTGTCTGAAGACCCAGGTTTGGGGGTAAAAGTCTTGATGTGATCACCAGAATGGCTCAGCTGGAGCCATCAGGGGCTATGTGCTGCCATCAGATGTAATTATTGACCCAGGTCCTCAGAGGATCTTGAGGCAGGAGTAGGGACATTTCTTCCTGCACTCTGGCCCAGAATGTACGCCTTGACCCTGTAATCCATGTAGATACTCCAGAGAATGAACTTGGTACTGGCTGACAGGACCCCATTGTTTTTATCTTTTTCTTTGTGTGTGTGTGCCTCTTATGTAAATAATTTGGAGTATAATTAGAAAGAAGACTGTGTAGGTGCGGAATTTAGTTCACTTCATGGCATTGCAGGCATATGAACATCCCAGTTCAGCCGTGGGAATCAAATGATCTTTATGTTTCGGCCTGTGTCAGCTCTCTGGGTCAACTAGTGTATCACACAGCAGTACCTGCAACTCTTTGAAGGTCACGAGGATTAAGAGCCGCACTTGGCCCACAACTAGCCCTGAACTGTTAGGCTGTAAACCCCAGTGGTAGGAATCCCCTTTATGAACCTTTTAGAAGATCAACTATTCACAAATTCGTTGAGGACGATTCTGAGGGCTGTCTCTAAGATTTGTGGCTCAGCAGCCATGTTCCCAGAGCACAGGGGATTCGATTTGTAGTGTATTGTTTGTTGATTTTGAAAGCAGAAGGGATGTGGACAATGTCTTGACTGAGCCATGAGGCAGAGTGAAGAAAGCTCCTCGGTATACATAGGAATGTGGAGTTGGGTATCTATGGCCACATTGCTTTTTTAAATAGGATCTTTCACTGAGCCTGAAAGTTCACTGGTTGTCTAGCTCGGCTGACTAGCAAGCCTTCAGATCCTTCTGTTTCTGCCTCTCAGAGCTGATCTTAAAGACACATATGGCCACATCAGGGTTTGCTTGTTTGTTTTTACTGTTGTTTTGTTTTGTTTTTGTTACAAGTGTGCTGGTGATCTGAATTCAGATTCTCATGCTTTCACAAGGCTGAGAATGTGGTTCATTGGTAGATACTTGCCTACCTCCCTCTCCTTTATTCCTTTTGTTTTTCCTTTTTTCCCAATTGGATTGAACCCAATGTTTAATGCATACTACGTAAGCTCTCAACCACTGCACTGTATTTCCAGCCCTACTATGGTTTTCTAAGTCAACAGAAATGTATTCTAACCTCACAAAATCCTGTAATGTAGATTATCACAGACATTCAAACCAACAGGCTTGTGGGTGCATTACTCAGTCAAGACAAAGGCAGAAAGTAGAACTGCTTAATAGAAGCTAAAAGACAGGAGTCATTGTACTTTGCTGGGATCATGGGTAAAATGAATTGTATGAGAACCTCAGTTTTGAACCATTGATATCTCTCATCCAGTGTATTGTAAGGGGATATCCAGTATATGCTGGCGTGTTTAGCAACAACCCTTTCCTCTGTCCATCAGATATCAAGAGTATCCTTTTAGTTGTGAAGTTGTGATAAATGAAGATGTCCCTAGGGCAATAATGACACCTATTTGTGAGGAACTGGGTTAGTCAGTTTTTAGCTACTCCTAGGATTACAGGCTGAAAACTCTCCTCTCCTCTCTTCTTCTTCTTCTTCTTCTTCTTCTTCTTCTTCTTCTTCTCTCTCTCTCTCTCTCTCTCTCTCTCTCTCTCTCTCTCTCTCACACACACACACACACACACACACACCCCATTCAGTGTTAGATATATAACCTTTTGCAAGCTGCAATGCTCTGCATTCTGTTTCTTCACAGTAACAGTTAAACATTCTCTCACAGGCTCACATTTGCACCCACTCACAGCAGAAGCTTGGTGCAAGTCTGTATGGGTAGCACACTGTAATTCCAGCTTGTTGTAGTTCACTCCAGGGATCTCAGAACAATTGTTCCCACACCCTGCTTGCCACGCTGGTGGGCTCTGGCAGACAATCCTGGCAGCTGTAGCTGATACAGTTCCATACTCAACATGTAGAGCTTTGTTTTAGCTCTGAACAAAACTTCAGGCCTCAGTTTTTTTCCATCTCACACTCGGCACACATGCCTACCTCCCTCACCCTGACAGCTGGGGCTTGCAACAACAGGCAGATTTTTGTGGCATCTCATTATAAAATGGTGCAATTGAGCCATTGAGGGAAATAGTTGTACAGAAACATGTATCCCTCTTTGATTTCTTCTTTCCTAGCATTACTGACCTCCCATATTCAACTGGGAGAATCACCAAGTTAGGTATACTTAATCATGTGTATAGGTTTTACAGTTCACAAAATGTGTGTCATTATATTTTTAAATGATATCCATAAAAATCTGAGGTCTAGTGAGGGGTTGTGACTGTTCAGTTATATGGCCAGCCAAGATAAGAAACAACTTTCTAAAGCTTCTCTCCAGTTAAAGGCTCACAGCCCAGTGAACAAGACAGATATAAAACAAAGAGGTATAATGCAAGACAATTGGCACTAACAAAGATTTTTCAGAAAATGAGCAAATAGAGTTGGGTGGACAGAATAGGACAACAGCTTTTTAAAGGAATAGAGAAAGATAAATGACCCTGAGGACATGACCTCAAGTGGCTTCCAAGGCTAAATGAGCCTTCATTTAGACATAAGAAAAAGGTGACAAAAATATTTCCTAGAAGATAATTGAAAACGTCAAGTCAATGGTTTCAGTAAGTGCTCTACCATCTCAAGGCCTGACAACACTAACATCCTTATGATCCTGACCATTCTCCTTACCATTTATGCTACATATCACATATTAAGTATCTGTTCTGTGCTGAGGGGTGGAGGGAGCACTCTGCCTTGTGTGATTCAGTCACCATGTTAGGTTTGGTGCATGTATCCTCATTAATTGCATTTTATAGATGAGGAAAAGAAGGCAAACAAAATAACTTGCCTGAAACAAGATTGTTTATAGATGATGCAACTTAAATATGTATTGTCTTTACCATATGGAGTGTGGCAAGTTTATTTAGAAAAAAAGAAAAAAAATGTTGAGGAAAGCATCAATTTGTTAGGCTAGTAATGACTACCAACGAGGTGACAATACTAAGCTTTTAAATTTTCTGAAAGTGGGATATTTCCTGTGATTTGTTTCTGTTCTGTTCAGTAAGCAAACAAACAAAAAACAAAAAAATCTGCCCACCCAACATCTCTCTTGAACTCAAAATTTTGTCCAATATCATGCCACTGTGCTGTGACACTGTGCAACTAAAGAGGTTGGCAAGACCTACCCACTTCCCTAACCCTTGATCTTTAGTGTTCTCTCCATAGATTAGGATATACTGAAGCACAAAATTACCAACAAATCAATAGTCTGTTAAAAAACTTCCTTGAGTACCCAGAAACATTCTACCGAGCTGTGTAGAATTTAGACTTTCACCTGTTGTAAGAGTTCTTTGTCTTAAAGTATCCACCGAATAGACAGTTGTTAGAGCATCTTAAGACTTGGTGTATTTAACTGACCGACCAGACAAAAATAAATATTCAGTGTGTTCCTACCTATGGTATAAAAGAAGAAAAAGGCATTCCTACTCATCAAATCTCAGTAGTGAGCAGGTTTTAGTTAAGGCAGAGTATGGAACAAACATTAGTTCTGTCCCATAACCTGGCCTGCATGTATTAGACTCTGTTACTGCATTTTTTTTTCTTTTACTCTTAAAGCACATACATCTGGACATCTGTAATACACAAGGATTGAGATAAAGGCCCTTAGACATGTTTTTTCTTTATATATAAGGAAATTGTACTCTATAGCCTATGCAGTTTGTATGCCTTCACATTGCATATGAACAGCAAAGCAAAGTAAGACCATGTGACCCCGTCATCACAGCTCCTCTGCTTTTAACAAAGCGCCAATGTTTTTATAAACATAAAAGCATTCTACAGATGACCTATTGATGAAGATATGTTAACCTCCTGTTTTTCTTTTCACTGTCTTTCTCTCTCCCCCTACCCCTTCCTCTTTCCTTTCTGTCTCCTTGATTCGTTTCTCTACAGGACTCCACAGAATGGAGCAAGAATGAGAGGAAAAAGGCCGGCAGAAAAGCATGAACTGGAGGTTTGTTGAGCTCCTCTACTTCCTGTTTGTATGGGGCCGTATCTCAGTGCAGCCCTCCCACCAGGAGCCAGCTGGGACAGACCAACATGTCTCCAAGGAATTTGATTGGCTTATTTCAGACAGGGGGCCTTTCCACCACTCCAGGAGCTACCTATCCTTTGTGGAAAGACACCGTCAAGGATTTACAACCAGATATAAAATATACAGGTATGATTTAGGCTAAGAAAGCCTTTGCTTTTCATTTTCGTTGTGCTTTGGAGAGACTAGGCATTGTCTGAGACCTGACTGTGTGGAGAAGACTCTTAGATAAGGGATTATGACCTTGTTATAGGCTGTTAATTGAATGTACTCAATGTTGCACAAAGTATTAATATGATGAGTCCAAATAACCAGTAATTTTTGAGTACTTTGTGTACTAGAGGTGATGCTTGTTTTATTATCTCCTATACTTTCTATTCATCTGATGTAGATTTTGGTTTTTTTTTTTCCCCTCTGCTTTACTCAGTTACACAGGTAACTGACTCTAAACTAGGTTAAATAATGGTTCCCAAAGAAACAATGTCAAAACTGGTAGAACTTGGATTTAATCCTTGGTTTACCTGTATCCATAGTCATGATAATCCTCTTGTTTTACAAGTATTATGAGTGAATCTAGTTTTCTACCCAAATATATTCACGAATTTGGGGGAGGGGAAGTAGAGACAGTCACTGAAGTACCGTTTTTTAAAACAAGTCTGAGCAGGTTACTAACTTAACTATAATTTTACCCAATCAAAAGGGACCAAGTTCTGTACAGGAATGACCTTAAGAAGGTCCAGTAAATGTGTCTACATTGTGTGTGTCTAGTAGATGGATTAAAAAGAGAAAAACTTGAATTATTTGCATACACATGGTAGTAGTCATGCAAAATAGGAGACATAGGGAAGGGATAGATGACTGAATTTTTTGCAATATCCTGAGTTACAAAAAACTCCTAGCAGAACTCCAAGGAGAAAAAATGAGCGGGAAATGACTGGTGTAGATAAAATGCATCAGATGGTAGAAATTGTTTCTCAGAGCATCCAACTATAACAAGAGGTGACAGCTTTTGATAGAATCTATCTGGGCTAGTGTGTCCTGTCTTGTGAGCTACTATTACCTGCTGATGAGATTTTTGGGGAAGAGGATTCATAACCATTGGGCTACTAGAATCTAGCTGTAGACATGTAAGTTAACTTCAGGGAGAATTCTACTTGGTGATATGAGTGACAACTAGGGATAAGAGAGAGAAAGGCAGGAGATGATGGCATAAATTTTAGTTCAAAATACTCAGGACAATAAGTGCTGTACTTTGCAGTACTGTTTTCTGATCCTCAACCACCAGAAGTATTTTCTTTATGTACTTTTCCTGGTTCCATATTCTACTTAACTATAATATCCTTGACATATCTAAAAAAATGCTAGATTTATTCCTCACTAGTTATAAACCATTTCCAATTAGAATGTATTCCTCTCTTTCTTTTTTAACTGAAATTATGTAACTGTTTATATAACTAACTGGTATCTCTTCCGGTATTATATACTCATGTACGTGTGTACCCACTTGCACACACATTATAATAACCATTGATGTCACTGATGTTCAGGTTTACATTTGTTATATGATTGTTATCATAAACACAAATGGGTACTGTAGTTTAATTGAAGAAATGCCAAAACTACTCTGCAACTTTTGTCTTAATGTCCAGAAAGAAAATGCAAATGCTAATATTGCTGAGACAATTAAAATAAGAAAGCATGGTAGAAGGAAAATGTTGGCCTATAAAGAGCAAAGCCTGAATTTGAACCTTAGGCCTTTCAAGTGGTTGATATAGAAAGTAGCCAAGCCATTCTGTATCCTGATTCCTGGAAATGAGTGACTTTTGAATTTTCAACTAGCTGAAAATACCAATCATGTGAAAGTTGTCCCACTAATAATTTGAAGTTTTACAGTAATAGTTCTGCATATGCAAGAGTTAATGTGTGAACTTTCTATGGGCCCTCAAAAATAGAAAACAATCATTGAACTGCTGGGGAAAGGTGCCTATCAGCATTATGAAAATGTAACATACAAAGCAAAATGAAAATAGAGTTTATAAAATAAGGAAACTGAGTACAAATACGAAAAACATTTTGGCATTTCTATTCCTGAAAGAAAATATCAGAATTCTAATATAATGCTTGATTCAAAAGGCTTCTTCTTGGGAGAACTATTCTTAAATCACCAAGAGAACAGTAGTTAACTGCATCATTTCATATTTGGATCCTTAAAACCATTTCTAGCAGAATACATCTATTGCTGCTTATGATTATGCATAAACCAAGGATTATGAGTATGTGTTGGTTGCTGGAGAGCATGTGTCAATCTCTGAAATGCTTGATCCAGGATAATTTGGAGCTTTGAGGTGTTGAAGATGGGGCATGACCTAAGTCTTTGAGATTCAGATACCTAATTCTGTCTGTGTATTATCAAATAAGAACTTCATTTTGTGTATAGCTTTGTCTTTCTTTTGAGCATCTCAAGGACACTTTCAAAGTTAAGGTCATTTGGGTTTTTTCTTGTTGTTGTTTCTATTTAAAAGGCCATCTCATGAGTGACTTGAGCAAAGTCTTACAGCCAAGAAAAGTTAGAAAATGGGCTTGAAACCAAGTATGATTATTACTCCATAACTATACTAACAAATGTGCTGGAATTATGGGCAGCTGGGTCCCAGTTCCAATTATCTGTTTACTGTACAATGGTAGAGGATCCTATCTTTGTTTCCTTATCCCACTTTCCTAATTTATCAAGTTAGAGGTGATTCATATTAATTATTTTCACTCTGTGCTTACATGAATTGCTGATGACTGATTTAAGTAGCCATAGAAACCACTGCAGTATGGTGAGAAGACCAAAAAGGCTGACCAGGCAGGACTCCCTGCCCTTCACTTCTGTAAACAGAAAACTTGCACCTGCTTTAATATTTGGTTTTCACATGGGTTCTCTGTTTGAATGGAATCCAACATTTAAACAAATATTTCAGTCCTTCAGTGAGATGATTTCTAAGATTCTTTTAGCTCTAAAATTAAATGTGAGATTTAACTAAGGTTACATGGTTAATTAAATGATGGAGTTCCACCCAGAAGCCAAGCCCTTGGTCATCTAGTTATCCTGTCTTTCTTTTATTTAATCCCTAAATAATTATTAAGCAACGGTTATAGACTCAGCACTGTGTTTAAGGAAGATGGTACAATAATGAGCAAAATAAACACTGCCCTTCCTCTCAGAGGAGAGAGTGACATTGATTAACCACGTGTGTGCACACATTTATATTAAGTGCTACAAAGGAAAACATCCAGGATTGGTATCCTAGAAAGTAATAAATTCTGTGTTCATTGATTTGACTCTTAGGGTAGTCTGTGCATGAAAACACATGCAAATGGATACACAGAGACATATGTTCATCCAGTTGCAGGTCAGAGCAAGCACCAGCTAGCTTATGCTTACTGAGGCAGTTGTCAATTGATTCATTTTCCTTTATCTGTCACTTTGCTGAAACATTAAAGCATTTTTTAAACGTGTGTGTATCTTGCTTGCTCTATGCTAACATGGATCCCGAAGATTGACATTGCTTCCCTAAAGGAAGAGTTATCCTTAAAGTTTTCCATATTATTCAATGTTAGAAAGCATTTCAGAATTGAGCCCTAAGTCTCAGTCAGTTCCCTCCTCTCCAGAGTTCAGGTTCACCAAGGGTTACTTGGAATCTACAACAGGAAAAGAAAGAGTCATCTCCTCACCTATGCAGGTTAAACCATCTTCTTGCCTGTGCACAGATTCGGTTTATAGATTGTAGAGTCATGGTGAGGAGTCACTCCCAGTGGTAGTGTGAGCACTATTATAATCCCTGAAGAAGTTCATTCCAATGTGGTTGCACAAGAAGAGTCATCAGATGAGTGCATGCAATGGTTTGAGTTTGTGAGGTATATACTCTCACTTCAGACAGTATAAATGATAGTGTTGGAGACTTGAGGTAAGGGAGGTGTACATTTATGAGAAAAGTTGTGTCTCTAAAATAGTATAGTAGAGGAATCTTCAGCTAAGTCAGAGTACCTTGACATTGTCCACCTCTTGTTGTTGTTTGGTTTTTACTCTTTTGGGGAGGCCCACCACACAGCTCCCAAGTAAATCACAGAGGCTTTTTCTTACTTATGAATTCCTGACATTAGCTTAGCTTAGTTTCTTGCCAGCTTTTCTTAACTTAAAATTATTTGGTCTACATTTTTCCTCTGGGCTTTTCCCGTTCTCTTACTTCTGTAAACCTTTCTCCGTGGCTTGTTATGTGGCTGGGTGGCTGGCCACTGGAGTCCTCCTTTTCTGGCTACTTCTTTCTTTTTTCCTCCATCTCTTTTCTTCTCACTCCCCCAGGTTTCTCCTTCTATATATTCTCTCTGCATGCTAGCCCAGCCTATCCTTTCTCCTGCTTTGCTATTGGCCATTCAGTTCTTTATCAGACCATCAGGTGTTTTAGACAGGCACAGTAAGTAACACACAACTTCACAGAGTTACACAAATGCAATATAAACAAAAGTAACACACCTTAAAATAATATTCTACTACATCTTGTTTTCTTTCTTGATTCTTTTGGTGAAGTAATAGAGTGATTTGAGGCACTTTCCCCATAAGGCCAATAGGTAAGTTAGTTAAGGTAGTCTTGAAAGCCTTTTCCATCTCTGAAATTCCATATTCCATGAAGTTTTGCCATCTCAATATTATAGCAAGTCCCTGTGGGGGAGAAGCTGGATTTAGAGTCTGGGGACTCAAGATATATTTTAGCTGAAGTCTCTGTTAAGTATGTTGTCATTAGTAGCTCCAAACTTGGAGACAACCAAAAGCAATGAGAAAAGGGGAGCATACATAGTACGTACCGACTCTCCCAATTGGGGTTATGGGAGGCACAAATGATAGAGGAGAAAGGGAATAAGTAAAAACTAACCACAGCAAGGGTAGGAATACCTCCTTATGTACTCTAGCTTCTCCTTTAAAGAAAGAGAATTACTTCTGTTCTACCAACTTCATCATAGGCACGCTATTTGAAAATACTTTCTAAAGTTTAAATTGTAGCTACAAGTTATGATAAAATAATTTAAATAGTCTATTTAACTTCAGGTTAAGAGTATGAATGTGCTAGTTATTAACTACTCACAGCTTA